CGCGCCCGCCGCACCGCCCCCGAGCGCCCGAGGGCCTCCTCCCGGCCAAGTGCACAGGATTCTCAGGCCCGCTCTTGTTGGGTACCAGTGGCCCGCAGGTCCAACGGGGCTTTGATTTGACAGTCAGAACCTAGAACCCAGTCAGTCAGTCAGTGTGTCTGTGTGTGAGACAATCCAAACCAGTCAGTGTGTGTGTGACAATCCAAACCAGTCAGTGTGGGTGTGTGGGTGTGTGTTGGAGAGACAATCCAAACCAGTCAGTGTGTGTGTGACAATCCAAACCAATGTGTGTGTGTATGTGTGTGACAATCCAAACCAGTCAGTTTGTGTGTGTGTGTGTGTGTGTGTGTCAGAGAACCAATCCAAACCAGTCAGTGTGTGTGTGTGTGTGTGTGTGTGTGTGTGAGAGAGAGAGAGAGAGAAAGAGAGAATCCAAACCCGCAGTTCTGAAATTGGGGGGCAGAGGGGCAGAATAATTTAAGCCAGTCGCTCTCAAATCTGATCGTGCCAGTGCCACTCCGAGGGCTAGGCTCTGAGCCCAGTTTCAGATTCAGTGGAGCCTGAGAATGTGCAGTGCTAACAAGTTCCAGATGGTGATGATGTTGCAGACCCAGATCGATGACTTTTTAAAATGTAGATTCCTTGCCTGACTCCTACCGTTATTAAGGGTGGGCCCATCAATCCAAATGTCATAGTTGATTCTGAGGCAGGTGATCTAAGAGCTAGCCTTTGGACCTTGCAGCAAGGATGTCACCTGGATTCCTGGTGACATGTGTTGGCGGGCGGTGGCAACCTTCCTCTGCTCTCTAGGATGTGGTGGATTTGGAATCTAAGGTGCCAGCCAGCCTGTTGGCACAGATGTAGCTCCAAGTATCTGGCCTGGAGGAGGGGATTCCGGAACAGGAAAGGCTGGACTGCCCAGGGGAGCAGCAGCTCCAGTTTCTGGACATGGCTCTGATGTTGCAGAGAAGTGTGACCACCATGTGAATCATCTGGAAATTTGTTAGAAATGCAGAGTCCTGGACCCCATGCCAGGCCTACTGTATTCATTCTCATTCTCTCTCTCTCTCTCTCTCTCTCTC